GGCCTTTTGCTCTCTTTGCCTCTCCTGGGTTTTGTATGATTCTTGTAGCTTCCGTTCAATTGTTTCTATTTCTCTACCTAACCTTCTTCGCCATTCTTGAGATAGGGTGCGACTCTCAAGTTGTTCCGCGATTCGTTTTCTTCGCCTATATAGGGAACGATGTTCCCGTTCCAATCTGCATCACTTTCTCTTTTTTCTTAGAGGTATGCGGTTTGAACATATTTCTAGTGCTACTGAGCTTATTTTTTCCAGGCACTGGTTCAGGTTTGCATTTTCTAGCTGTTCTTCCCAGTTTATTTCTGTGAAGTCCTGGTTTATTTGCTCCCAGTTTATCTGTTTATTATTGTAGTTGAATTTGCTGAAATCTCCTCCACCGGGAATCTGGACTGGTTTTGAAGGTCTACTCCCCATGGTTGTCATAACTTCAATTAAGTTGTGATCTGAGTAACAGGTATTTGTAATCATTATGTTCCTGATCAATTCATCATTATTAGTGAAAATGAGGTCCAGGGTAGAATATAGTTGTGCATTAATTGGCTGTTGATTGCTGGTGTTGACTTCTTAATGTGTAGTGCCTCGCAAACGTCAAGCCGCCTGCTATCGCTGTATCTATCGATGATTTCTGTGTTGTTTACTAGGATTTCTCTGGCAATGGTTTGGTTGTGGGAAGAGATTATATGTTCCTTAATGGAGCCCTGTTGCTTATGCATCGTTAAACGCCTAGAAAGAGATGTTGTTGTCTTGCCTATATACTGGGTTTTTTGGAGCTTACAGTCCCCAAGAGGGCATTTGAAGGCATAGACGACGTTGGTCTCTTTTAAAGCGTTCTGCTTTGTGTCTGGAGAGTTTCTCATGAGTAGGCTGGCCGTTTTTCTGGTTTTATAGTAAATCGTCAGTTGTATCCTCTGATTTTTGTCTGTAGGGATAACGTTTCTATTAACAATATCTTTCAGGACCCTTTCCTCCGTTTTATGAGCTGTGGAAAAGAAGTTCCTGTAAAATAGTCTAATAGGGGGTATAGGTGTTGTGTTAGTTGTCTCTTCAGAGGTTGCATGGCGTTTCACTTTCCTTCTTATGATGTCTTCGATGAAACCATTGGAGAAGCCGTTGTTGACTAGGACCTGCCTTACCCTACAGAGTTCTTCGTCGACTTGCTTCCATTCTGAGCTTTGGCTGAGAGCACGGTCGACATATGCGTTAACAACACTCCTCTTGTACCTGTCTGGGCAGTCGCTGTTGGCATTTAGGCACATTCCTATGTTCGTTTCCTTAGTGTAGACTGCAGTGTGGAAACCTCCGCTCTTTTCAATGACTCTTACATCTAGAAAGGGCAGCTTCCCATCCTTTTCCATCTCGTAAGTGAAACGCAGCACGGAACTCTGCTCAAATGCCTCCTTCAGCTCCTGCAGATGTCTGACATCAGGTAACTGTGTAAAAATGTCGTCAACATACCTGCAGTATATGGCCGGTTTCAAGTTCATGTCGACTAAGACTTTTTGCTCGATGGTACCCATGTAGAAGTTTGCAAACAGGACACCTAGGGGAGAACCCATGGCGACCCCATCTACTTGCTTATACATGTGCCCATCCGGGCTCAAGAAGGGTGCCTCTTTAGTACAAGCTTGGAGTAGTTTCCTTAGAATATTTTCTGGTATGTCAAGAGGAGTACAGGCTGGATCACGATACACTCTGTCGGCTATCATCCCGATTGTCTCGTCCACAGGTACGTTGGTGAACAGTGATTCTACGTCCAACGAGGCTCTTATCCCTGTGGCCCGTGTGCCCCGCAGTAAGTCAACAAATTCCTTTGGAGACTTCAGGCTGAAGGCGCAAGGGACATAAGGAGTCAGCAGGCCGTTGAGTCGCTTCGCCAGTCTGTACGTGGGTGTGGGTATCTGGCTAATGATTGGCCGAAGTGGGTTTCCAGGCTTGTGTGTCTTGACGTTTCCATACGCATATCCAGGTTTATATTCCCCAATGATCTTTGGCAGGTGGAGTCCTGATTTCTTGGCGTTCACAGTTTCGATCGTTTCGATATATTCTACCCACCTCAAGACTCCGCTCCAATATAGAAGCATCAAGAAATATGGACCAATAGGCTTTCTACAATCACTTCCATTCAATACCCATTGTTTCGTGTTCTGTCTTGTGTTGATGAATTTAATACCCTGTTAAAACCACCTCACCCCATCCACCTCACTAAAATGTAGATATAAACAAATCGGAGATGTGTAAGTTCTATTCAGTTGTGTATGTGTAAACTAAAGTCTTTGAAAATGTAATAAGTTTTACGAAATGCGCTCAAGTGTCGCGTCAGACTAGAAATAAAAATGAATTTTGGAGAATTGATTTTTGAATTACCACCAACAGTGAAAAGAAATGTACGAAAGATTGAGAAAATTCGTGTTAGAATTATTAATCTTACTTTTTCGGTCATATTTAATAATAGATGTCTACAGGAAAGACTGCTACCAAAATATACTAATATATATATATATATATATATATATATATATATATATATATATATATATATATATATATATATATATATATATATATATGTCGTACCTAGTAGCCAGAACTCACTTCTCAGCCTACTATGCAAGGCCCGATTTGCCTAATAAGCCAAGTTTTAATGAATTAATTGGTTTTCGACTACCTAACCTACCTAACCTAACCTAACCTAACTTTTTCGGCTACCTAACCTAACCTAACCTATAAAGATAGGTTAGGTTAGGTTAGGTAGGGTTGGTTAGGTTCGGTCATATATCTACGTTAATTTTAACTCCAATAAAAAAAATTGACCTCATACATAGAGAAAAGGGTAGCTTTATCATTTCATAAGAAAAAAATTATAGTAAATATATTAATTCAGGAAAACTTGGCTTATTAGGCAAATCGGGCCTTGAATAGTAGGCTGAGAAGTGAGTTCTGGCTACTAGGTACGACATATATATATATATATATATGTCGTACCTAGTAGCCAGAACGCACTTTTTGGCCTACTATGCAAGGCCCAATTTGCCTAATAAGCCAAGTTTTCCTGAATTAATATATTTTCTCTAATTTTTTTCTTATGAAATGATAAAGCTACCCATTTCATTAAGTATGAGGTCAATTTATTTTTATTGGAGTTAAAATTAACGTAGATATATGACCGAACCTAACCAACCCTACCTAACCTAACCTAACCTATATTTATAGGTAAGGTTAGGTTAGGTAGCCAAAAAAAGCTAGGTTAGGTTAGGTTAGGTAGGTTAGGTAGACGAAAAAACATTAATTCATGAAAACTTGGCTTATTAGGCAAATCGGGCCTTGAATAGTAGGCTGAGAAGTGCGTTCTGGCTATTAGGTACGACATATATATATATATATATATATATATATATATATATATATATATATATATATATATATATATATATATATATATATATATATATAACATGGGGTCCATTTAAGTCTTGCCATAGAAATGATACTCGAGTTTCCTTATATAGTAAATATTTATATATATTTCCTCACATATATACTCTTGACCCCTGAAGGATTCGAACCCAGTTAGCCATGGTCTCCATACCCCTGGCAGTCCAGTGCTGTAACCACTTAGCCAGCAATTGTCTAAAAGTGTTGGGAAGTTGTGAGACCTACTTGCACCCAACATCTGACAACACTCCTGACATTTATTGGGCACAGATATTTCATCAAATCACTTCAGCATGTTAGGGTCACATTATTATCAAGTGTGTGTAAAGCTTAAATGGTCCACAAGCCAATATTCAACCGAAACATTTACATAAACTCCAGTTTTGTCACTATGAATTTTTATTTTTTAAATATAATGCATGACTACATTTGTCATTTCAAATATATTATTTTTCTGTTATGTATTTGTTATTATCTCTTTGATGTAACAGTACTATTTTCCCTATGCATTGCTACATCCAAACAATCTAACTGTACTATTAGATTATCTTATTACTGATGTATTTGGTATCTACATTGAAACACTTGATATTACAATTTTCTAGGCCTCTTAGATAGTAGCCTAATTCAATTATATATTCAGACAATATTTCCTTTTCTTCGCCATATATTTCTAAGCTATTATAAAACCAATAGTTTTCAAGATTATGATTTTTAAGAATATAAAAATTCCTCTTGCAAACTTCGTGTGCTTTTAATTTAATAAGTGTATTGAATAGCTTGTCATTATATAATATAGAGTAGTTGGTTTATATCTATCCTGAAGTAACACAGTTCAGGGTAGGTATAAACAAAAATTTTGGTTAGGAAATATATTATATGATGATTATATAAACGTGCACTAAATTTGGTTTGGAAACTAATTGGTAATTTACCCAAAATAAATGACATATATGCGGCTATTATAAGCGTATCACACACTTTAAAACTATTTTTGTTCTTTCATTTCAAATCATGTAAGTGACTACTATTTATAGAGAGCAAAGATTCAGGTGATATTTGCACTTTTATTACCCTATAAAACAGCTTAATATTAAATACCAATAAGGATATTCTCAGTGAAAATTCGTGTTGTTATAAAATACTAGACGTGCATAATGAAATAAACACTACTTATATAATTAGTAATAGTTTTAAAACACTATAATAATAAGCTCAGTTATTATTCTTGTCATACTTCATAATAATATTCTTGTCTCTTACTTCATAATAATATTCTTGTCTCTTACTTCATAATAATATTCTTGTCTCTTCATAATAATATTCTTGTCTCTTACTTCATAATAATATTCTTGTCTCTTACTTCATAATAATATTCTTGTCTCTTCATAATAATATTCTTGTCTCTTACTTCATAATAATATTCTTGTCTCTTCATAATAATATTCTTGTCTCTTACTTCATAATAATACTCTTTTCTCTTACTTTATAACAATATTCTTGTCTCTTACTTCAATGACCAATTATTTCATTAATGATTAATTTACTAAAGAGTGGAATATATTCCACAGGTACCGGCGCTATTGGCCTTGAGCTGCACAAGAAAGGATTCACGTGAGTATAATGGGAAATTGTACCAGACAATCCCTTCTGATTAACACATTTGTAGCGGAGTAGTCTGCCTAGTTGTTTTACAACCGAAACGTCCTGGGCTCGATAAGAATGAAGGACCGTGTTAGGCAGGTCGTATTTATTTCCAACAACTCCCACTCATATATTTGTCTAACAGAACCTCCAAACTATCGAGGGTTTTTGTCTACCTGACATTACATGGTAACTTGTTCCATAATAATGAATCCAAAGTTCCTTGCCAGTGTTCCCCCAATATTCCTGGTCAGTGTTCCCCAATATTCCGGGTCAGTGTTCCCCAATATTCCTGGTCAGTGTTCCCCAATATTCCTGGTCAGTGTTCCCCAATATTTCCTGGTCAGTATTCCCCAATATTTCCTGGTCAGTGTTCCCCTATTTTTCTGGCCAGTGTTCCCCAATATGTCCTGGTCAGTATTCCCCAATATTTCCTGGCCAGTGTTCCCCAATATTTGTTTTAAATCTAGATTTATCCAACTGAAATTTATTATTTAGTTATTTTCTTAGTTTATATTTTTAACATATCCACTTGTGAACATTTTTCTTACATTTGATAACCCATTCTGCTAAAATAATAATACTTATAATCACTATTTCCTTAAATGTACCAAAATGTGCTGTTAGCCCTAAAAAAGCAAAAATTTTGTCCAATTAATTGGTAGACAAAAGTAAAACCTGACTTAAACAGTCTTAGGCCTAGTGTAGCCCATTTAGGTACAATATTAGTTCTAACATAGTGTGCGTGGCAGTGTTTGGACTGGTTAGGTTGCGTTAGGTCTTTCAGCCTCATTTGTGATGTAATAGAATGTCATTTTGGCGAATTCAGTAATACAAAATGCATGCAAACGACGAGTCACAATAACATTGCTGAAATATGATGACCAAACCACAGGTCAGAAAATTAAGAAACAACGGCGTTTCGATCCATTCTGGACTAATATCAAGTCAAGTAATCGAAAGAAAGCGGAAGAGATAAACAATACGAGGAAACAGAGTGAGGTGAAAGGTGGAATGAATGAAAGAGAAAGATGAAGATAAGAATCAGAGGAATGGTAATAATAAGATAAACGGTAAGAATAAGATGACAAAATAGATAAAACGTAGCAATAAGATGAAAGTAAAGACTAAGGGAAAAAGGTAAGAAAAGAGAAATGGCAAGAATAAAGAGAATAGGTAAAGTAAAGGTAAGATTAGAATTTAGGGTAGGGGAAAAAGCAAGAAAACAAAAGAGGAAAACGGGTATAAACATGAAAAAGTTATAAAAATAGAAAGGTTAAATAGTAAAGTAAAAGAAAACAGCAAGAAGCCTGATGAGGAAGAAAGTATCTAGTAACGAAAGAGACAGAGAGGAAAGAGAGGCCAGATGAGCAAAGATAAGTCATATATATATGATAAGTCATATATATATACGTCATAATATATTAGTTTATTTTGGTAGCAGTCTTTCTTGTAAACATATGTTGTTGAATATAACCGAAAGGGTAAGATTAATGATTCTAACCCAATCTTCTCAATATACTTATGTTTTTCTTCACTGTCGAGGGAAGTTGAAAAATGAACGCTCCAAAGTTCCTTTCCACACTTTATTTATGGTCTGACGCCTAAGGAAGCGTTGTGCAAGTCACTCCTTACATTTTCAGTGACAAGTTTTACATGCAATGTCAACGCTTATATTCGTTTGGGGTGAGGTGATACACCCCAAGCGAAATGCACATGAGGTGGAGAGTGAGGCGTGAGGTGAACATGATTGAGATGAATTAGCAGATGAATAGCATATGGGGTATTAACGGTACTGCGTGTTTTATGTTCTTGCGTCAACGGTTTCTGTGTTGGTTCGGGGTCTCGAAGTGGATAGAATGTAATTATGTGTTAATGGGCTGTTGGTTGCTGGTTTTGACTTTTTGATGTGTAGGGCCTCGCTGATGTTGAGTCTCCTATTGTCGTTGTATCTACTGATAATTTCTGTGTTGCTTTTTAAAATGTCTCTTGTGATGGTCTGGTTGTGTGAGATTATATGCTCCTTGATGGAGCCCTGTTATTTGTGCATTGTTAATTGCCTAGAGAGAGATGTTGTCTTGCCTATATACTGAGATCTTTGGGGCTGACCGTCCCCAAGTGGGCATGTGAAGGCATAGAAGACGTCAGTTTCTTTCAAGGCATTCTGTTTGGTATCTGGAGAGTTCTTCATAAGTAGGTTGGCTATCTTCTTGTTTTTATTATAAAATGTTAATTGTATCCTCTGGTTTGTGTCTGTGTGGATAACGTTCCTATTACTAATATGTTTCAGGACACTCTCCTCCGTTTTTATGAACCGTCGAAAAGCAGTTCCTGGAAAACAGTCAAATAGGAGGTACAATTGTCGTGTTTGTTGATTTCTTCAGTGGTTGCATGGCGTGTCACCTTTCTTTCAATGACGTCTTCAACATAACCCTTAGAGAAGCCATTGTTGACTAGGACCTGCCTTACTTCGTCGAAGCAGAGTTCTTTATCGACATGCTTCCAACCAGAGCTGTAAGTGAGAGCTCAATCGACGTAAGCGTTGACAACACTTCGCTTGTACCTGTCTGGACAGTCACTATTGGCATTAAGACACATTCCTATGTTCGTTTCCTTAGTGTAGACTGCAGAGAGGAAGCCACCATTTCTTTCTGCGACTATTACATCTAGAAAGGGCAGCTTTCAAGTCCATGTCAGCTAAAACCCTCTGCTCTATGGCTCTATGGTACCCATGAAGAAGTTTAAAAACAGGACACCTAGGGGAGAACCCATGGCATCCCCATCTACTTGTTTATACATGTGCCCATCGGGATTCAAGAAAGGAGCCTCTTTAGTGCAGGCTTCGAGTAACTTCCTCAGTATGATCTCTGGTATGTCTAGAGGGGTACAAGCCGGATCACAATACATTCTGTCCATCCTGAATGTTTTGTCTACAGGCACGTTGGTAAACAGCAACTCCACATCCAGAGAGGCTCTTATCCCTGTGTCTCATGATCCCCACAGTAATTCAACAAATTCCTATAGAGACTTCAGGCTAAAAGCACAAGGCACATAAGGAGTCAGCAGACTGTTGAGTCGTTTAGCCAGTCTGTATGTGGGTGTGGGAATCTGGCTGATGATTAGCCGAAGTGGGGTTTCCATGCTCGTGGGTCTTGATATTTCCATATGCATAAGCAGGTTTGTATACAAAGATCTCAGTACATAGGCAAGACAACAACGTCTCCCTCAAGGTGATTAACAATACCCAAACAACAGGAGAATATTTTTGAGTCAGTCGTTCATAGACTGCCAGGGTTTCCAGGTAAATTTCCCAGTCACTCATAGACTGCCAGGGATTCCAGGTAAATTTGGTCAGTCCTCCATACGCTGCCAGGGATTCCTGGTAAATTTCCCAGTTTCCGATTTGGAGTTAAATGTTTCTTATGGCAGAAATTGAAAATAATTTCAGAGTTCAAAAAAAGTTTGTTAAGAAAATACAGTCTCCGTGGTGTAGTGATAAGACACTCGCCTGGCGTTCCGCGAGCGCTATGCCATGGGTTCGTATCCTGGCCGGGGAGGATTTACTGGGCGCAATTCCTTAACTGTAGCCTCTGTTTAACGCAACAGTAAAATGTGTACTTGGATGAAAAAACGATTCTTCGCGGCAGGGGATCGTATTCCAGGGACCTGCCCGAAACGCTACGTGTACTAGTGGCTGTACAATAATGTAACAACTCTTGTATATATCTCAAAAAAAAAAAATCTTATAGAAAAATTCAGGGGGCAAAGTCCGCTCCCATCTTACTGTAAATAAACTCTACATTCAATTTTTTTATTTTTTGGGGGAAAAATCACTCATTCATTCATAAGGAGGAAATACAAAAATTTTCAGAGTTCAGTTTTATGAAAATATTTTAGAGTTCATATAATCATAGAAGTTTATTTACGAGTTTAAGACCGAAATTTATAAATAAGACCATTTTCAGAGAATATTGTCATAGAATTTTTGCTAAGGAAAATAGACATCTTAGCAGTAAGTTTTAGTTTTTATACTCATTCATGGCTATTTCACCTGTAAAAAGACCAACAGGTATTCAGAGTCCAGTTGAAGACCGATTTCCTTCAGAGACCATTTTCAGACCTAAATTAGTCAGAAAACATTTTCAGACCTAAATTAGTCAGAGACCAGCTGATACCGAAATAATGTCTGAGTCCAGTTTGTGCCTGAAAATATTCAGAGATCAGTTGAAGATCAAAATATGACAGAGACCATTTTGCACCAAATAATTTCAAAGATCATATAAGACCGAAAAAATTTCAAATTCCAGTACAAGACCGATGTTCTTCATAGTCCAGTAAAAGACCGAAAATTACGAAAAGACCGAAAGAGTCCAGTTTGAGCCCAAAAGTATTCAGAGTCCATTTTCAGACCAATTTTCATCAGAGTCCAGTTTGAGACCCAAATTTGACAGAGTCCAGTCTCAGCCTGAAAATAGTCAGAGTCCAGTGAAAGACCGAAATTAATCAGAATCTGTTTTAAGGCCCAAATTTTTCAGAGACCGCATTTTATAGGCATAATTTCGCTACTATTACCCCAATATTAGCCTAATTTTAAACAGTCATATTTCAGATGTAGTAAATGAGATCAAGTCAGTAAATAAGTTCTAGTTCCTGTTCCCTGCATTAGTTTATTATTACAACTTCTTTAGTATCGAATCAATTTCTTTGAGATTTAAAACAGCTATTTTAGATGTAGAAAAATACAATAATTTTGTTACTGAGCTCCAGTTCTTGTTTTTGCCTTAAACCCCCTCTCATATCTTCGTTAATACCCCAAAAAATTTCCCTAAATTTTTAAACAGTTATATTTCAAACATAATAAATCAAATCAAAGCAGTTAACGAACTCTAACTCCTGTCCCTGCCTGTCCCCTCTCAAATCTTCGGTAATACTTAATTAATATCCCTGAAATTATAAACCTAGTCATTTCA